TCCATTTGACTTTGCGCCCGGGGACTATCGTGTTGTGCACGCATGTTGCCCTGTTGCGGCCATGATTGGTGGTCTGCTTCCGATGACGGATAAGGCGGAGCTGATTGATGAGATTAGCGGCACGAGTGTTCAGCTCTCTGAATATTTGTTCGGCTAGTAACCAACTCTCCCGCTGTTACAAAATAGGGCGTTACTAGCACCGGACGTCCAGACGGACGCCTGCGGCTGCTTATTTCCTGCATGTAGCAAGCGGACCTTAGCTTGCTCCGGGGCCACCATGCGGGCATCACACCGCCATCGGCCCACCCAGGGCCAGCACCTTCGCAGGCGTCTGCGTGCTCGTCGGGTAGGGTTTCCCCACTGAGCTCGAAGTGCCGCGGCGAGATGGAGGAAAGGGAAGGAAGGGGAGGGAGATGAGAGGAGAGGAGAGTGTGAGGCACGCCGCACAAGGTAGGAGTCGAAGCCTTGTGGCAGGCCACTGTCCGCCAGCCACCGGCACTATTGCAACATGTGCAACGTCCGATCTACTTTAAAACATCAAGATGAAATATTTGCAACATACGTCTGAAGACAGATGAAACACTTGAAACATGCATCTGAAACACTTGAAAAAAAAACACCTAAAAGACACTTGAAAAGCCACTGCAAAACATATACAACATCCGGATAAAACACTTGCAACATATATGTGAAACACATGCAACATCCAAATAAACACAACTGCAACATACGCATGAGAAAAACCGATGAAACCTTTGAAACAGACGCTTCCAACATACGCGTATAGCTATTGCAACATATGCAACAACTCGATCTACTTTTACAACATTCATACGAAACACTTGCAGCATACCTTTGAAACATCTAAAACACTTCTAAACATACAATTGCAACATGCGCTAGTCAGGGGGACGTCAACGGCCAAGCGTATGCCCAGGCGCAGGCGCACGTAGGCCTAGGCCCCCTTTATTGCCGACGAGCAAGGTTGATGGGGACACAGGCGTAGGCCTCCCCTGAGCTCCCCAAGTGCAGGTCTCCCCAGCCATAAAAGCATGCCTCCCCTGCCTTCCCTTCCGCTATGGGGGAGGTGGATGGGGGCGCAGCACGGGATGGTGGCGTGGACCACGGAGCAGCCAGGGATGAGGGCGCGGAGCAGCCAGGGATGGGGCGTGGGTGCCGTGCCACCGCACTGGAGAAAGGCGCGGTGGACGGGTGCGCTGCCTGCTGCAAGCGGCCCTGCGCAGCTGCACTAGAGAAAGACGAGCGACTATGTCTTTTTTTTTGGAGATACGGAGGTGATGCGCAGGCGCACTCTGAAGCAGCAAGCGGAGTGCAGATGCGGGACGTCCTATCGTTACCGTACAAAATAAGTCATCATCTCTTATTTTAAGGAGTCAAACAATCTTAACTTTAACCAAAATATATTCTAAAAATACTAATAATATTTATACAAGATAATTATTATTAGATTTAATCATATATCATATGTTTTCATATTAAATCTATTTAAAAATAAATGTTCATACTATTTTTATGATCTAATTAAAATTGAGACTCGTTGCCTCCTCCATGTGTGAGATCGAGACTTATTTTAAGACGTTGTGAGCCAGGTCGGCCCATGTAGGTCCTAATTTCTTTTTGTTTTGTAGGGAAGCGACTTGAGCTGCCTTCATACCGGTGGCCCAATCATCAATTCAGGCACCCTAATACGTGGGCCATACGTGCAACCAAGTATTCTGTATTCAGGGCCAAACTAGGTTCCTTCGCATTTCCTTTTCTTCTCAGAAGCTAACTCCATTTCCTAATACTTTTCTTCCAAAATATCAAATACTTTCAGGGCCTTGCTACGGTGCTCTCGTTACCTCGGAGGAAGTGATAGCTAGAACTAATCACAACCATTGATTTTTGAAATTATAAAGTAATTAAATAACTGAAAAACCAAAAAAAAGAACGACTTCTATAAAGAATCTTATCATTCTTTTGTGAAAACAAAATCATCTTACATGTATACAATTTTACCTTAAGCTATTTTTCGGAATAATCATTTTTAAAAGTTGTTCCACTAAAGATGACATCGTATTGTTGCATTTAGAAAATATAAAAAAATTGTAACGCCACATTCAATCCATAATAAGCACACGTTTACACACGATCGAACTAATCGGCAAACGCTCACTAGCAATGAATTGAGCGAACGATTTTTCCGACATACACAATTTCTTCTTCTAGAAAAAATAAATTTCCACGTCTTACTGTATTTGATACTGCCATGCGCTCCGTTTTATCTTTTGGTGATCGCGCGACGGACACCTCTACGCCGACACCTTTGACATCACCCTGACACGGGCTAAAAAGCCATAACATTTATTTTAAAATGGTATAACTACTGAACAGTGTACCATTTTCAATTCTATCTGTACCGGTGTGTCCTACACGATGAGACGAACAAAACTAGACCCCACTTACATATGTTTCGAAGTTTTATTCTATCAATAATTTATGTGTATCAACTTATAACGTATAACTTATAACATATAACTTTAACGTATAACTTATAACATATAACTTAAAAACACAAAATTTATGAAACATAACTTACATATACAAAAGTTATTAAACACAAAAGAACGAATTACCTTAGAACTTATGTCAAAACTTAGAAACACAAAAATTATTAAACACAAATGAAAGAATTAACTTATAACTTGTAACAAAACTTGGAAACACAAAAAGTTATGAAATACTACTTATCTAAAAAAAAGTTATCAAACACAACTTATGTATATAAGTTATGCTATACAACTTGCCAACGTTGACAAAAAAAATTAAAAGAAAAAATATTTAAAAGAAGGATAGAAAACATAAAAAATGAAAAGAATACAAAAAACACATAAGTTATTAAACACAGACGAAACGAATTAACTTATAACTTATACCAAAACTTGGAAACACAAAAGTTATAAAACATAATTTATGTAAAAAAGTTATCAAACAAAACTTGTGTACGTAAGTTACTCTATACAACTTGTGTATATAAGTTATTCTATACAACTTGCCAACGTTTGAAAAAAAATAATTAAAAAAAGGATAAAAAATGAAAAGAATACTAAAAAATCACATAAAACAAAACTAAATAAAAATAAAAAGAATAAGAAAAAAAGAAAAGGCTAAGTCTGTAAAGGTTGTACACGTGAAAGTAAAAGTGAAAAATGAATAAGACACGTCCCCATAAAAAAAATTGTTTGAGCATAGGCCCACCGTGTCCGTTAAACACAGTGTGGTCTGTTTGTGGCGCAGCGGAAAAGAAAAGATAAATAGGACGGGAAAAGAAAATTAACGAACCAATCCAGGCAGCCTCGGTCGTTCACCACATTTGAATCGCGCGAACGAACGTGGAATTGGAATTTGGTTTACACACTCGCATATAGGACCTTACATCTAATCAACAAATCTACCCATGCATGATCCAACCACAAGATAAGTTGCCTAATTTCTAAAATAAGAATTATATATTTTTTCTATCACCTCTTAGGAGGTAATATATGATAAAAAATATTGAGATTAACGGTCCACGGTTATTTGGGAGTATCATAGCAAATCCCATACTTTTAATGTAAACAACATTGCTATTATTTCCACATTATAAATCTCACCATAATGTTCAGAGTTCAGCAACTTGGTTGCATACATTCTATTATGAATTGTGACATCTACGAATCACCATATCCACTTAAAAAAAGGAATGTAAGAGCATCTCCAAGAGTTTTTCTAAAGTTTACTCTTCAAATCATCATTTTAGAGAGTTATTTGAGCAAAAATTATTTTTTTATATCTTTGTACCCTCCAATAGCTTTTCCATATCTTCTACGTACTAGAGAGCAATTCTCACTATCTATCTTTGGCTAGCGAGGAATCTAAAATAGCATAATAGAGGATATCTATATTTGATATCCAATTAAAGAGACTATTAGGATATTGTTTTTACCAAAATCTATATTCTTATAAATTAAAGAGGATATAAAGAGTCTCTTGAAGTTGCAGTAGCATAAGTTTTTCCTTCATATACCACAATGAAAGAGGTACACCATGAATTAGGTGATATAGTATCACAGTATGCATTAAGCAATAATCATTCAACAATCAGTACTCCATTATACAGTGACGCCAATAAGCTGCGATCACTGATACACAACATTATTAACACGTACACATCTCACATCTCAGTATAGTATATAGGCATTGACTAGCGGCGAAGAGGGGAGAACTATACTCGTACATCTGCGCCTCCTCCTGCTCTGCCACTGCCATTATTGCTTGTTGCACCTTCGTCAAGCTTAGGCATGCAACCACTGTTGTGACTAGCTTAGCGAGAGCCCAATCACACAAACAGTACATAGCTATCACACACGCGACAATTTAACTTATATATGTGCATGCTGCGTATTGATCAGATATGCATGCACGCATACTTTGCAGACTATATATAATTCTGGTTTTATTAGTAGTTGACAGAGGACTGGTAGGTGGCGCCGGGCGTCCACCTGGCGGGGATGACGTTGCTGGCGACGAGCTGCTTGCCGGAGCTGGACGTCAGGCGGATGGACAAGGGCGCCTGCAGTGCCGATCCGGCGTTGAACTTCCAGACGGCGCCCCACGACGGCTGCATGGACGCCCACGACGCCCCAGCCCCGGTCTGCATGAGGTCGACGGCGGAGAGGTCGCCGTCGCCGTTCACGTACTTAATGAGCACGGCGAAGTACTCCGGGTTCGAGCCGGCGTCGACCACGAAGGTGAGCTTTACGCCAGGCCAGTTGCACTGCACGCTGTACATACATACACCACGAGCTTCGTCAGCCAATATAGAAAGAATACAAAAGCTCGATCGTTGCATGGAGGTTATTGGAATGGTGCAAGTGCCGTGTATGGTCAATGAGAGGACAAATAATTCCGATCAGCTAGCCAACGAACTATACTTAGTGAGCGATATAATTCGTTCCTACCGGGTGTACTGGATTTGGAGGACACCGGCGTTGCGCAGCTTGTCGGCCTGCCCGGGGTTCGCCATGGCGCCGAATGCCGTTCCGCTCATGTCGAAGTGGGCCGGCTCGTTGAGGCACGCACCGCCAGGGCATTCGTCGGTGATGACGACGGTCACGGGGTTGCCGGAGCATGCGTCATTACCCGTGCATTTGACCTGTGCCAACGTTGATTTATTCCAAACCATGTTAGATCGAATCATCATATATGCGTCAGCCAGCAGGTACATACACACAAGTGTGCACACGCACCTGGAAGCAAGAGCCGCAGCCCTTGCCGGAGTTGTAGATGGAAGGGCTTCCCGCGGCGATCATGGACGAAAAGGGCGCCTGGTCGACGGCATCTTTGTACCCGCATGCGCCACCTACGTGTATCATCAGGTCGATAGTTGAGAAATAATGAGGCAAGAATATAATTCTTTGACACGGCATGCTGACTGACGAGTTTAGCCAAATTTTATATATATGTTGTCAGTTGTCACTAGACACATACCATCGCTTCCAGCCCCAGTAGCGGCGCCGTACCACGTCGCGCCGCCGCTGGACCAGCTGGAGAGCTTGCGGTGAAACTCGACGGATGCACAAGGATGGATGATCGAGGCTAGAGCCGCAATCGCAATAAAGAACAGGAGCTGGGACTTAGAAGCCATAGCCGCCGTTGTTGCACTCCTGTGGCTTGCTGCTAGGATGTCGTGGTTTTGCAAGGGATTGGGGGAGAGGGCGCAAGTAGATGAGAAGTGGTGTGAGATTGTGAGCTGTGTGGGTGAGCTTTGGTTTCTCTGATGCCCTATTTATAGGCAGCCAAATGGTGTACATGCATGCATGCATGGGAACAGATCTCGCTGGTTGCTTCCTCTGTTGGATTGTCCATCGCCTGCACATGGCTAGGGTCAACATGTTGATGGCAGATAAGTGTAACTAACAAACCACTTAACAGCCCTAGCTAGCTAGAGAGCTAGTACGAGTATTAGGAAGGTCCGATCCTTTTGTGTGCAGTTCACTTGTCCAGTCGACTAGTCCTTGATCTCTGATTGGAGACATGGCAATTCGCATTCTGCCTTCCCAGGTATGTAGATCCAGCCATTAGGTAGAGAGCTGTGTAAATAATCTACTGCTACCTTGTGTGAACATAGTAAGGGAAGACGGCGCCGAAAGATCCCCTGCTGTGATACTGTAGCCACTGCAGATGCAGGGCGCCATGACGGCTCACTGCAACCTTTGTAGGCACATGCAAGGACCAAATACAGAAGTCAGCCATGTATGTTATCTAGTCAATGTTGCAGCAGGGCAGCTGTACTGGGACTAGATGGATAGAGTTGTATAAATATATTACCACGACAACTCAGTAAAGAGAGTTCAGATTTACCATCTTACAGACTGGGCTTCGGCTAACACTGGTGTCCTATATTGTGTGTGTGTGCTTGCTCTGTTCTCCCTTCTTCTTCTAGCTCTAGCCATAGTGTGTGGGGACGGACAATACTTGTTCGTGGTCGGCACAGCTAGTGGGTGCTCGGCAACACTAGCGGGTGCTCGGCAAGACTGGTGAGTGGTTCACTCACCTGAGCTGGTGATCTTGTGGGCCAACAAGTGGTATCAGAGCCGTACAAGCGCCGTCGCCAGACTAATCGCTGGTGATAACGGGCGGTTCGCAGATGGGCGATAGCAGTGGCACTGCTGTGGTTGCCCAGCCACGACTGGAGGTAGTTGTTCGCACGGTGCGGGAGGTCAGCGGCACCAGTTGGCCGACGCTGACTGGCACCAACTATGGAGAGTGGTCGGTGACCATGAAGGTCAAGCTCAGAGCCCGACGACTCGGGAATGCTGTTGACAAGGGCACCGACAATGAAGAAGATGACATGTCAGCGCTGTAGGCTATCATCGCTGCTGTACCGGTGGAGTACAGGAAGCCGTTGGGGGCGAAGAGCTCGGCTAAGGAGGCGTGGGAGGCTATTGCGGTGATGCGCGTCAGTTCCGACTGTGCAAAGAAGGCAACGGCCTAGCTTCTGAAATAGGAGTACGTCAACCTCAAGTTCAAGGATGGCGAAATGGTGGAGGACTTCTCCCTTCGCCTGCAGACGCTCATCAGCAAGCTAAAGAGCCATGGCGTCATCATCGACGAAGAGGAGGCGGTCTCCAAGTACCCCCACTCCGTGCCGGCAAAGTACATCCAGATCGCTCTTTCCATAGAGACGATGCTGGACTTGTCCACCCTCATCATTGAGGATGTGATAGGCCGTCTATGGGCGGTGGATGAGCGCCTGGAGCAGGCGACAGCAACAAAGGACAGCGGGAAACTTCTGCTGACAGAAGAGGAGTGGGCTGCTCGGAGGAACTCCGGGAAGGCAGCCTCCTCCAGCCGCGGTGGCGATGGCAAGCGTCGCGGTAAGACTTCTTCGGAGAAGAAGCAGGTCGACCCCAACGCCTGCCGGCGTTGCGGGAGGATGGGCCATTGGGCACGGGAGTGCCCAAACCGCAAATAGGAGAAGAAGGCTCAGGCTCACTTGGCACAAGCCGATGATAAGGATGAGGCCACTATCCTGATGGCGACATTCTGTGTATTGCACGATGCCGAGGCCGAGGAGAGGGAAGAGGTGACGATGGTGGAAGGACCTGGGAAGGCCCTGAAGACTGTCAACCTCGACGAACCATGCGCCCAAGTCCACCTCGGACGTGTGGGAGCCGACCAGGAGCAGCGGTGGTATCTGGACTCTGGTGCCAGCAACCACATGACGGGCTCCAAGGCATCCTTCTCTGAGCTCGACGGCGATGTTACCGGTACGGTGAAGTTTGGTGATGGCTCAAGGGTGGCTATCCAAGGGCGCGACACCATTATCTTCAGGTGCCAGAACGGGGAGCACCGCGCGCTAACGGATGTATACTACATCCCGCAACTGCGTTCCAGCATCATCAGCATTGGTCAGCTAGATGAGCGCGGTAGCGAAGTACTAATCAAGGACGGAGTTCTTATGATCAAGGACCAGGAGCAGCGACTTCTTGCCAAGGTGAAAAGGTCCCTGAATCGGTTGTACCTGCTCGACCTGAAGGTAGAGCAGCCGGTGTGCCTGGCGGCAAGGCACTCCGAGGAACCATGGATGTGGCATGCCCGGTTCGAACATCTCAGCTTCAAAGCGCTTGGTCGGCTGGAGAAGATGGTCCGAGGGCTACCCCACATCAAGCACGGAGGTGAGCTGTGTGACAGCTGCCTGGCCGGGAAGCAGAGGAGGCTACCTTTCCCAAAGGCGGCCAAGTATCACGCGAAGGACGCTCTCGAGCTCGTCCACGGCGACCTCTGCGGGCCGATCACGCCTGCTACAAACGGTGGTCGGCGGTACTTCCTCCTGCTCGTGGATGATTGCAGTCGCTACATGTGGCTGCAACTCCTGACAAGTAAGGATGAAGCAGCGGCGGCGATCAAGAAGTTCAAGACGCGCGCGGAGGCCGAGAGCAGCAAAAGCTCTGTGTGCTGACGACTGATCGCGGCGGCGAATTCACTTCGATGGAGTTCGTTGCGTACTGCGTGGATCAGGGTGTGGGGCAACACCACACCACGCCATACTTGCCACAACAGAATGGCGTGGTGGAGCGACGGAACCAGACGGTGGTCGACATGGCCCGATCCATGATGAAGGCCAAAGGCATGCCGGCAAGGTTCTGGGGGGAGGCGGTGACCACGGCGGTGTTCATCCTCAATCGCGCTCTGACCAAGGCTCTGGCGGCAAGACGCCGTTCGATGCTTGGTATGGGCGCAAGCCGAGCGTGTCCTTCCTCTAGATATTCGGCTGCATCGGCCATGTTAGGAAGACAAAGCCGAACCTCACCAAGCTGGAGGACAGGAGCACACCCATGGTGTTCCTGGGCTACGCGGAGGGTACCAAGGCGTACCAGCTCTACGACCCTCGCGGAGACAAGGTGCTTGTCTCGCGCGACGTTGTGTTCGACGAGGAGGCGACTTGGGATTGGAGTAGTCCGAGCACGGGGGAAGCTGGCAGCTTGACCAACACCTTCATCGTCAAGCACTTGGTCATCCACGGTGGAGGAGACGCTGAGGAAGAGGTGCCGAGCACACCAGGAGTGGTGCCGGGAGGTTCTGCAGTGGTGGCGACCACTCCAGGACAGGTGCCGAGCACTCTCGTGGCTGAGCCAAGACGTCTTGCAGTGGTGTCGACCACTCCAAGACTAAGGCAGGGCACTCCTACAGTGTGGCCAAACACTGTAGGAGTTATGACGAGCTGTCCAGAAATAGTGCCAAGCACTCCAGGTGCTATGCCAAGCACTCCGACGGAACAGGGAACTCCATCGACGCCGATCGAGTTCGCCCCACCTCCAAGTGACATCACTGAGTTCGTGGATGCCTTCCATGAAGGTGAGGAGGTGTGGTTCCATAGGATGGACAACATCATCGGCGGCACAGGTCCCTTAGGTCTGGCGGGCAAGCTGCTCAATGACGCAGAGCTGCTACTCGTCAGTGCAGAGGAACCACCCACGTTCGCGCTAGCCGAGCGCGATGGAAACTGGCGACGGGCAATGCTGAAGGAGATGAAGGCGATCGAGGAAAACGAGACATGGCAGCTCGTCGATCCACCTCCAGGATGCCGTCCGATCAGCCTAAAGTGGGTGTACAAGGTCAAACAGGATGAGCTCGGCGCCATTGTTAAACACAAGGCACGCCTCGTTGCCCGAGGCTTTGTTCAGCGCGAGGGCATAGACTTCGAGGAAGTCTTTGCGCCTGTAGCGCGCATGGAGTCGGTCTGTTTGCTACTTGCTTTGGCAGCAGCAAAGGACTGACGCGTCCATCACTTGGACGTTAAATCGGCCTTCCTCAACGGCGAGCTGGTGGAAATGGTCTTCGTCTAGCAACCTCTAGGTTTCGCCGTCAAGGGAGAGGAGCACAGGGTGCTCCGACTGCGCAAGGCGCTCTACGGGCTGCGGCAGGCCCCTCGGGCATGGAACGCCAAGCTTGACGCCACGCTGGGCGAGCTTGGGTTTCAACGGTGCGCAACCGAGCACGCGCTCTACACACGGCGACGGGGGAAGGAGCTCATCATCGGCGTGTATATGGATGACTTAATCGTCACCGGCGCGCGCACGGAGGATATCAACAGCTTCAAGCGCGAGATGGCAGCTCGTTTTTGAATGAGCGATCTCGGCGCACTCTCCTACTACCTCGGCATCGAGGTGAGACAGGGGAAGGAGGAACTCACGCTCGGTCAGAGCGCATATGCCTCCAAGCTGTTAGAGAGGAGCGGCATGGCTAAGTGTAAGCCATGCGTGACTCCGATGGAGGAGCGACTGAAGCTGACGAAGGCCAGCACCGCGGCGAAGGTGGATGCGACACTCTACCGGAGCATCATCGGTGGTCTGCGCTACCTAGTCCACACGAGGCCGGATATTGCATTCACCGTGGGCTACGTCAGTCGTTTCATGGAGGATCCCAGAGAGGATCACTGGGTTGCGGTGAAGCGGCTACTGCGCTATGTCAAGGGGACGGTAGAACATGGGATCATCTTCCCAAAGACCGGCGAGAGTAGGCACGACCGGAGTAAACACATCGACGTGAAGTTCCACTTTCTCAGAGACTGTGTCGATGGAGGGCACATCGTCATCGAGTTCGTCGAAACTGGTCGGCAACTCGCGGACGTCCTCACCAAGC